GGTGAGAGGGGTTTCCCCTCCCTTCCCCCCACGATTGTTTCCCACGGCTAAATTTCAATTCGTTGTTAAATGTTAGAAGATGATCGTCAAAAGTTTTTAGAATAAATTACAACAGGGATTAATTGAATTTCTCTGGGAAAATAGAATTCAACTTTTCTTTTATCATCCTGTTGTAGGTTATTGAAGTCACATCCGACGAATTCGACGAGTCGTCAGTTACAACGACAACATTATTTTTATTATTATTATTATTATTATTATTATTATTATTATTATTATTATTATTATTATTATTATCGTTTGCTCCCGTGTTCCCGTTGAATGCTAATGTAAACGTTTAATTTTCCTTCTCCTACTCGTATAATTTTAAATTTCCTCTCTTCTTCTCCTCCTCTCCATTTTTTTTTATTTTCAAACCGTTATAAAATGTTTTTATAAAAAACAACAACAACGACAACCAGAACGGTTGAATAAATAAAAAATTTACGTCGAAACAGACGACAACGATGACGACCGAAAAAGAATGAATGGTTGTTTGTCCAACGTGTCATGTCCAGTGTCTCGTGTCCGGCATGTCAAAAAAAAAAAAAAAAAAAAAAATCCTTCATTTAAATTTATTTATATTATATTTGAATGTGACAGTTGGCTGGAGAAAAAAAGAGACAAAGAGAATGAGAGAAAACTGAATATCCAGGAATTAAAGTTTTTTTTTTTTTTAAACACTCTTTACAATAAGTATAAAACTTCATTATTTCACTTCCGTTTCCGTGTTTTCTACTTTTTTTTTTTTTTAAATCATTTTCTTTATAACGACATCAACGACCGAATTTCATTCTCCAAAAAAAAAAAAAAAAAAAAAAAAAATTTATTCGCGGTTTTCTCCTGAAAATATTTTTTTGGTTACGCATTCAAAAGTCATAAACTCTCTCTTTTCCCCTCCACCTCTCCCCATCCCCACCCCAACTCAAAGATCATAAAAATTTTAAATTTTCTTATCATTTATCATTTTAAATAGCTTTTTGTTTGACTTTTCCGCATCTTTCACACCCTTTTCCATCATCATCATCATTCCCAAAAAAAAAAATTCCTGGAGAGAATAAAAAAAAAAAAACTAAAAGTTTTTAACGGTCTTTTTTTTTTTTTTTACGAAAATCACTATTATTAAAATTATTACCGGAGAAGAATTTTTGAAAAAGAAGAAAAAAAGGAAAAAAAAAAAAATTTCCAGCCGTCTATTTATATATATCGGATAAGAAAATTTTCAAAATTTTTTGGAATGAAATTCGTTTAGTTTTTATATTTATCTTACGTGTGCGAGAGAGAGAGAGAGAGAGAGAGAGAGAGAGAGAGAGAAAGAGAGAGAAAAAATTAAAAATTTAAATTCGCGATAAAAAGCATTTCATTTAATAATTTTCCTTTTTTTTTCGTTTTGTTTTTCTTCTTCTCCAGTTTTCCAGAAGTTCGCACTTCAACAAAACAATTTCAAACACGGTTTTTATAAACGAATGACCGTTCGACCATCCGACGTTCGTTCCAGGAGCAAAACCAACAACGTGATAATAAATTATTTTTAGGTGAGGATCGAAAATGACTTAAAAAGACTCTCATTAATCAACTCGAACTCGTGAACGCCCAAAACAAATTTTAATTGTCGTTCGACGCTTTTCCATATGGCAAACACATACACACACAACGAAAGGAGGAATAATAATAATAATAATAATAATTTTTTTTTACCTTCTGACACAAGAATCGCAAATGATTATGACGATGATAATAATAATAGTTCGTAATTACGAAAAATTTATTCTCTTAAAGTTTTAACAACGAAAACAAAAATAAAAAAAAGAAACGGGGAGAAGGGGGGAGGGGGAAGAAGAAGATGATTCTTTAATTTTCCAATTAATCTCAATTGAAAATGATAAATCATTCTTGTCGGGTGGCGGTAGTGGAGAAGTCGGTGGGGGTGATGACGTGACGAGAAAATCCGAGGAAAATTTCCAAATTTTTTTTGATTTTTCGTAGCGATGAATCGCATCTTAAACTCATCGTTTTTCTACTTCGGAATTTTGTTTTAAAAAATGGAAAAACAATCAACAAACAAACAAGTTGTTATCATTGTCTAAAATTCATAAAAATGACAAAAGGAAAAAGCTAAAAACAAAATGGCGACGGATTTTAAAATCGGAGAAATATTTCGATGTAGGAAAAAAAAAAATTTCAATATGGCCGAAAGGGCTGGAATTTTTCATTCGGTTTCGATTAGGAATCGATAAAAAAAAAAAAAAAACTTGCTGGAACGGATGTGATAAAAACCTCGTCGTCCGGAAACGGAAATACAAAAGTAATTCAAGTAAAATTATTAAACAAATTAAAATTAAAAAAAAAAAAAAGAAAAAAATTTTACGCTTCGAGTAGACATTTTCCCTTTCCCTCGCCTCCCACCTCCCGCCCTCCTGAACTCTCCTCCCCTTCTCGTCTTTCCTTTTTTTCCTTTGAAAATTATTTAATTCGTCATTTCCGCCAAAAAAAAAAAAAAAAAAAAATTCACTCATTTTTCCGATTATCGGATTCGACCGTTTGATTCTAGTAGACGAAAAGAACAAAACCGAAAAAAAAAAAAAAAAAAATTTTTCACAGAGTTTTGACGCCATTTTTTTTTTTTTTTATTCACTAATAATAAAACCCAATTAATTTTCAATTAATTTACATTTAACTCAAAACATCCGCGTTTATTACCATTATCCTCATCAAATGTGTGCGTGTGTCTATTGACACGTCGCCGATAATTAAATTTTTTTTTTTTTTACCAAAACCGTTTCGTTTAAAACATTCAAAAAAAAAAAATTTTCTTTTTTTCCCTTTTTTTTTTTTTTTCTTCACACCATCCGACATTTTCAGTTATGCACATAAACACAAAAAAAAATAACGATCCTTTTTCAATTTCCATTTAATTTCCATTGACACAAAACGTACACACATTTTTAATACGTCATACATACATTCTCTTTCTCTCTCTTTCTATCCATTTAATATTTATTAAAAGGAAATAAAATAACCAAAAGTCGTCAGGAAATGGACTCCCTTCGTAAAAAAAAAAAAAAAAAAAAAAAAAAATTGAATTTTCATTTCTTTTATTTTTCAAAATGTCGAATTACGCGCACTTATTCATCTCGCCCTTCTCCTCCTCCTCCGTTCCCCCTCTTTCTCCCTCTTATAAATTCCATAACTTTTCCAGTAATCTTACGTATTTAAATAAATAAATAAATAAAAGAAGAAAAAAATTAATCGTTTTTAATAAAGTATAAAAAAAAATAAAAGAGAGAGGAGGGGGAGGGGGAGGAGAAGGTGGAAGGAGAGCGAGAGAGAGAGAGAGAGATAGACGGCGGAAGAAAAAAAAAAAGACTTTAGCCCTCCAGTAAAAATTCCAGTTAAGCGAACTTTAAAGATTAAAAACTTTCAATTAATTTTCTTCCATTTTTTTTTTCATTTTTTTTTTTTTTTTTTTTTTTTTTAATCTTTTCAACCAACTTTATGCATTAAAAACAAACAAATATTTTTTTTCTTCTTGCGCCCCTTTGGCTCCTCCACCCCCCCCACGTTTAATTTTTTTTTAAGGAAGAGGTTTAATGCCCCAGCGTTTAACGGTTACGCTAACTTTAAAATGAAGAAGAAGAAGAAAAAAAAAAGAAAAAAATTTTAAATTTAGTTGGGGGGAAAAGAGAGAAAGAGGGAGGGAGAGACGAGAGAGCGAAAGAGGGGCAAGAGGAAGAGTGAGGGAGAGGAGCGGGAAGAAGGTTAAACAAAGATAAATAAATTTAAAATTAGGTAAAATTATTTACACAATGAAGCCGTATAAACCATTTTAATTAAAAAAAAAAAAAAAACGTTTCGCGATGACGTCACATGAAAAAAAAAATGCCACATTAATTTTTCTTCTTTCCTTCCTTCCATCCTTTCTTTTTTTTTTTTTTAAAAAATTCTCAAACCTTGACGGCCCCCCCACTACTTTTTTTATACTTTTTTCTTTTTAACATCAAAGTAAATCTTCCGGAAAATTTTCCATTTTTAAAAAAGTAAAAAAAAAATCGCGAACTGGAATTCAAAATGTCTGAGTCAAAATTTTTTAAATTCTTTCTTCGCTTTCATCCATTTCACAAAAAGAACAACAACAGAAAAAAAAAAAAATTTTAATATTTTTTTTTATTCTCTGGCGACAACAAACGGCGACGTTTTTGAAAAAAGTTTTTTTTTTTTTTTTTTTTGTAGTTTAGTTTGTTAGACGACAAACAAAATTCGCAACAAACAAAAACCTTTGAACAAAAAAAAAAAAAAAAAAAAAAAACCCGCACGACGACGATAATTTTTATTAATTTAAAAAAAAAAATTAAAATAAATAAATAAAATTAGAAAACAACAAACAGCGACAGCGACAGTAACAACAACAACAAACGATTGTGATAATTGATAAATAAAAATTTTATAAAAAAAAAAGTAAACAAAATTAAAAGATGGCGGCCCTCACTCACTCAGGAAAAAAAAAACCAAAGGACAAAAATAAAAATCATAAAAGAAGATTAAATAAAATTAAAAAAAAAAAAAAGTGGAAGAAAAATAAAATAAAATGAATTAAAAATTAATAATAATAATAATAATAATGATAATAATAATGATGATAATAATGATAACAATGATAATAAAAACAACGAAAAGTCGAGTAGACAAATAAAAGAAAAAAATTATAAACAATTAAAAGAAAAAAAAATTTTTTTTTTTTTTCGTATTAAATTAAATAAAATAAAATAATAATAAAATCTAATGACACGACATTTGTTTTAAAAGAAAGAAAGAAAGAAAAAAAAAAAAAAAAAAAAAAAGAGGAAAAAAAAAATATATATATCACAAATAATAATAAT